AAACAAATCAGAAATCGGGAAACAAACTGTTGGACAATAAGGTTGACTGTGTTCCATGTGATTGTCCGGCTGATATCTTGAGAACAGAGGATTCTATGATCATTTGTCTAAAATGGTACGTCTAAGTTCGACAAAGGCATTTAAGAGCCACGATTGCTAGTCCGATTCTGAGGTCATACTTGCAACTATAGTTACTAGACTTATCCAAGTGGGAGACTGTTGGATAAGGTGTCTAAGTCCATAACTATATTTGGTATGTACTTGACCCAGTTTGGCATGGTCCATTTGGGTTGCACTTCACCGGAACAATTTGGACTTTTGAGAAGAGGATAATTATGATTTATTAATATATCATAAGTTTTAATATATTAATATGAAATCATATTATTTAATTATTATTGATCAATAATTAATTTGGAATTAATTTTGTGATCAAAAGAGACTAATTAAATATATAGGGATTGATTGTGTAAATCATTCATTCTTATAAAGTGGGTTAATGATCCTCGATTCCTTATGTTGGGCTAAACCCATGTGGTGACCCATGGATACTCCATGGAGGTTAAACTCATGGAGCATGAGGAATGTGGAAAGACATGCACATTAAGGTTTGCATGGTGTAACCCTAATGTAACCACACTATATAAGAAGCCCTTTGGTTCAAGAAATTGGCACCTAGAGTCTTTGCAAGAGTGTGGCCGATTTTTGTGAGCTAAAGAGTCCTCTTCCAAGTTTCCAAGTGTTAGTGGTGATTTGTGATTCCACTTGAGGCATTCACATTATTGGTGCTAGGCTCTTGAAGCTCCAAGAAACAACCTACAACAAAAGGTATGTTATCTAACTTGTTTTATTACCCAAGTATCAAAGTTTTGTATGCTTGTTAGGGTAATACATTGGAAAAGAAAGTTTGCATGTATAATAGAGAAAACATAGATCAAAGGTATTTAGGGTTGCATGTACACCTTAGGAGTGCTAGGATGCTCAAAACCCATAATATAGGTTTGTACTACCAGAAGCACATGATCTGTACTTGAATCAGGAAGATTCATAAGGTTTCTAAGGAACTAGTAGTTGAGTATGTTTTGTCATTTTTTTTGTCATTTACTTGTGTTTTGGTTCAAAGAACCATGTCCGGAGTAGAGACCGAATTTAGTCAAAGATTGGAGACGGAGATGATCGGAGTGATCAACATGATAATTTAATCCGTTGTTAGGATTGAGCAACCAGTAGCTAGAAATCCCACCTGTTATGATGTGATTGTACCACATTAGAACATGAAGGTATCTTCCGTGTTATATGTTTGACTCGTGAAGACAATATTTTAGTTCATGGCACTGTGCAAAATGAAGGTCATTAGAATGTGACCATTCAACCTATTATTATAGCTAAGGTAAAGACCTTATTTTAGGATTTATCCTATGACCCAACTTGAGCAGGAACATGAGTCTCGGATGAAGATCAAGTTAGTAAGCCGAAGTTTAGGACTGAAGGTCCAACAGAAGATGAGGAGTGGTTGCAAGTTTGAGCACCTCCAATAGCTAAGAAGTCTAAGAGTTTGACACTCGTTTGACAATTCATAAGAGTTGCGGTTGTCGTAGAAAGGATGGAAGAATGCACAAGGATGTTAGTTGTGTGTATGTGTTCAAATATTTCAGAGATGGTCATGATGATCAAGCGGAGCGTGACAAGTTTGATCATCCCAGAAAAGAGGAAGATGGAATATTGAGTTCAACAATTGTCGTTGTTGATAGTATTACAACCCTCTTGTACCATTTTGTACACATCTACATTGGTAGACGACTTCGTTCTTATCGTAATCCTGATCAGACCCCGGTTCTGACATACAAGAAGATCACTTGTTGCAAGCATAATAAGTGATACTACGTTGAGGATGATAAAGTCATTAATGTGACAATTAGGAGTTTTTTCCAAAAAGAAAGAAGGATACAAAATCACATAAGCAAGAGCCTTAATGTGACTCAATCGATTGTGACTAGCAGTAGAAAGTGAAAGTTCGAACTCAAGTGAGAGAGAACCAACCATTAAGGCAAAAGTACAAAAGTCAACTCGAATTTGGATTCGATGTCAAAATCCAGGAGAGTCGCGGCACCAAAATCTAAGAGAATGTTATTAGCTATAATTGTGGGTATGAAGATGGTAGAAGGGATGTTTTGGTTGGAAAATAAAAAAAACATTAAATATCGTGAGGGAACCTGAAACATTTACCTATACTAATGGGAAAAGGGAACAATCTTAGATCTTGTCATCCCAGGATGGAACAGAACAACGATATGCCATGAGTTATAGTTGACCAAGTGATAAAAGTATGTTTTTATGGGTTTCAATTCAATGGGGATAACATTGTGTGAAAACAAGTACTAAAAAAAACCCATAGTTAAAGAGCGAAAAGAGACTTAAGGAATCACTACTCAGAACTGTTTTGTTGATATATGATTCCAGGAGGTAATCATCCTAAGGGGGAAATAATTATAACGTCCACAAGCTCAGGCTAGACATTAAAACATAAAATATAATAATTAATTATAGTTAAAATCCTCGAATAGGATAATCGTAAATAATTAATAATCATTTGTACACGATACGAGTTATATAAATAATATTTATATATTGCGTACATGTTTTATGGACAAATATTGGGCTTATACTATTTGTATAAAACATTATTATAAAATTTAACGAATTACGTCAAATAAAATTCAAAAAATAAAAGATTACTTAGGATAAATAATCTTGATGAAAGTTGTAGTAGTCGTGATGACGATTTCGGGGATATAACGGACACTTAAATCTGACTTCGTATGAAGAAGTTATGATTCTCTGCAGTTTCGTGTTCAACAATATAAAAAAAGTGTTTCGTAAAAAGTGAATCAGTGATAGGTTGCTTATTATCCTAAGTAATCTAAACAAAAGTCGTAGTAATCGTAAAAGTGAGAGCATGCATATAGAGAATGCGCAAATCTGACTTCATATGAGGAAATTATGATTTTCCAAGGTTTCAGCATAATAGTGTAGACATAGAAATCGAAATTAAAATCGTTTGATTGTTAGAGAAAACAATGTAAACAAGAGTTGAAGATCTCGGAATTCGTTGATATAAAGATAGTCGAGAACAGAGTTCGAATGAAGAAGTTATGATTTTTGCATGGCCTTTTGCGGTGTAATCTTCGTAGACTATTAAATTTAAAATGACTTGAGAATTAGCCGATGGAGTCTAAATGAAAGTTGTAGTACTCAAAAATACATACACGTGGGTATAAACATCGTCAAAAACGGAGCTCGTATGAGAGATATATGATTTTTTGAAAATCGAGAAATTATGCCCGACAACATGACATTGTTGCACTTCATGCGCTCCATGTGTCACGATTCTGGAGGAAGAGCTTGCCGCCCAAACCAGGGTGCCGTGTGCCCCTAGTCTAGGCGCGACACACTTTGCCTAAAGTTTTCCTATAAATAGCAGCTCCACGCACTTCATTTTCCACACCTCAAATTCTTCTCTCTGGTTTCTTGTGGGATTATAATCCCGAAATTTTCTAGATATTTGGAATATTTTAGCGAAACCCTGAGTCAATCGAGCTCAACAAATAGAATCTCTCGGGTCGGAGTTCTGCCTGCTTAAGTGTAACTTCTATTTAGGTTTATAATTGTTATTATGAACCTATAAATAAGATTTATCAGTGATTCCATGTCATAATACCGATCGATCTACTTACAGGAATGATCTTAAAGTTAGATTTAGTAAGGTGTTTAAAGTGGGATTTCCAAACCTTATACTATGTATACCAAATAGACCCTACCTACGATATGATCTTACCTGGTATTCTTTATTTGATAGATCTTGATGTATTCATTGGGATTATTGAGGATTCTAGACTATTGTTATTTTATTCGCAAACTATAAGACTAAGACTTAGTGATATTCATATCTAGGTCTTTTGAAAGGAAAAATTAAGGTGTTACCCCAAGAGCTGACCTAATCGCAAGTCATCCACTTTCAGAAGTTAGTACATAGTTATTTTCATCTTACAAATAGATAAAAAGTATTTAGATAATTAAATTTTATATGTGCTTATTATCTGTGTTCTTAATATATGTGCTAGATTTGATAACATGCCATGATTTTACTTGATTTATTCGTATATGTACTTTACCGTACTTATAAAATATTGAGTAGAAAAGGATTGAGAAAGAGATAAAATAATGGTGAGAGACCACGTCCAACAATATACTATTGTACTACTGAGACCAGTCATCTAGCAGAGTATTGATGACGACCAAAGACTATTCTAGACAGTCCAATGGATTGTATGTTCATTCGAGTACTCTATCCCTGCATGGTTGTCTTATGGTCATATATTTTTATAGAATCCCCGAATTAGCATTCTCTACATGTTACTTCCCGCGATCATTTAGGATAGATCCCTTGAGGTTATAAATTTAGGATCAAAGAGTGAGAACAATGGGAATGGGTAAGTGGATAATTTTTTTGGTGTAAAAGATATATAATTTAAAATATTTTATCATATTATTGTGGGTTGAAAACCATACGTGCTCACCAGGCTACCAACCCTGACCCACTCAGTTTCTTTGTATCACAGGTAGTGGTACGAAGGTTCAGGGATATTGATGTTTGAATCTGCGAAGAGATTTTAGGAGTTTTAGGTCATTAAATAAATTGTTGTAAGGCATGTAAATACTAGTTTATGCTTATGTTTCTGTATCGGTTATGACATTCAAGCTTTTAAAAACTAATGAAAAACGTTTATTCGGAAATGCTTTGATATTGATATTATCTCACATCAAAAAAATGTTTTTGGGACAAATTCCACATTGATTTATTCTTTTTGAGGAATACTCTAAATTAAATAAGCATAAAGAAAATGATTTTTTAATTGGCCATAAAATTGAGGATGTCACAAAAACCCTTAAATGGATGGTTTACCAGGTGTATGAATCTTCTGTTTTTTCCTTCTGAAATACTGTATCGTCTAATTGAGAGTTTTTTCCTATGTCAACTTTATTTAATTTATTATGTTCTTTCGTTCTTTCTACTTTATGTTGTAGGTGTGGCCTTTCGTCTCTTATCTCATGTGTTGTGTATATGTGTGTTGTCACTAGGTAATGTTTACACCTACATATCCCAATTTCCTCTGTACGATAATCATGTCTATTTCATCACTACCGGTGCTGGTCAATATTCCCTACCAGTTCTTAACACCAATTGATTAGTCGAAGATCAAAGCCAAGTGTTAACTTTTCCATCCGCGACATACTCAGGTTAATTGAGTAATGAAGATTTGACGTTCCCTTCCAAGTATAACGCTTTCCCAGGTAAAACCCAACAACTTTTTTTAATGTTTATGTATGATTTGGGCTTTAAATTGGTTGTTTGCATCCTTTTAGAGTTAAGGCCATTTTAGTTATTGATGTTTCTTGCTTATTTGATTTTAAATTATGAGTATGTTGCTGTGAATTTTTATCAATTTGGATTAGGGTTGGGTTTAATTTGAACGTCCATCAATTTTCTAGTAGTTTGCCAATAAATATATATAACCTCTAATATAACTGGATCGCTTCCTTTGATTACACCCAAAACCACTCAGCTCTTACCTCCATAGTAAGTAGTATATGAAACCCTATTTTTCTTCCACTTTTCGTTGATAGAATGAATTTGGTTTTTTTAGCGGTTATTAGAAATTTTATCTCAGTAGCTTCATGATGTCGTTTTTTGCAGTGGAAAGGTAAGAAGACCAAATAAGACTAAGGCTAATAGTAACAACTTTTATCAGTATTTTATTTGAATTCTTTTTAGGAGTATTATTCCTAACAATTTCATTGACCAAAGTATGCTTTCAACAGTTCTATCATTTCTTCATTCACATGAACCTAATTTTACTATGCGTTTATTAACATCAAAAGTATTTAAAATATATTGTCTTTCAAATAGATGAACATTCCATCTAATCTAATTATGTCTATTGATCTTGGTTACACAGAGGACAAGTACTCATGCCTCTCATCAGAAGCCCTCTTGAATGTTTGATCTTTAATAAGTCATCATATGGGGTTATCATCATATCAACTCAACGATACAAAGGTAAATTTTTTATTCCATTTGGTATGTTTGTATGTGTTGTATTTATGTGTAAATGCTTGTAATGCAGGTAAAGGTATCAACAAATTCTCAAGGTAGTAAAAATCTACCACCATGTTTAGTTAAATATGACTCTGATGTCTACCTCAAAAGACTTTGTTTTGCTATGATGTTCGCACAAGCGAATGGGTTAGTGTTCTCAAGCAAACTAAAAGGTAATATTTATAATTAAAATAACCCTTCTCGATACAACAAAAAACTTAAACTATTTAATAGATGAGCAATATTGAATTTTCTGTCAGGAATTTTTTTAGGTGGTGATTATATATTCACTTGGGATGGGGATATTGGATTGGAGAATTTTGATGCTGAAGGTAAATGTTTTAAAATGTTGTACTTTTTTGTAACTGAAAAGTAATTAATTTTAAGATTTTGTAGCCTTTGATACATATATATAAGCTTGTTTAAGGATCACATATTATAAATTCCCCGACCAAGTTTATCAGCTAGTAGTGGACTAATATGGCAAATGATAAGGAAACGAGATGATTGCGAACTACACAAGTAAGAAAAAAAAACTCATTCTCGATTTTTGAACCAAGGTTAAATGCAAGAAATAGCAACGTACTTGCATTATTTTGTTTATTATAACATTCTACTTTCATTTTTCTTACAAAATATTGTACTTTAAAAATATATGGATTTATGGAAATGTCATCCAAATACAAAACAAATTACACCGCTATAATTGGGTAGATTTTTTTAAACTGTGATGTCCTAATAAAAGAAAATGGAAGTATGTTCCTATAATTCAATAAATATTCCAAAATACAATGATTTAATAAGAAAAAAAAAGTTGAAATCATGTTCATTAGTAGATTTTTTTTAGAGTGGATGTACACTGCTATAATTGGGTTTATATTTCAAAGTACAACGATTTAATAAGCAAAAAAATTAAAAGTACAATATTGCAATAGAATGAAATGAAAGTATGATTGTATAATAAACATAATAACCGAAAGTAAATTGTTATACATTTACTTTCCGTCCAATCGAATTTAATATTTTTGTAATTATTGCACTCTCAGAGAAGCGAGGAAAGGGATGGGTGGTGCATCAATCCATATTTGTCACCTTGTGCAGTGTATGTTTTCTTTGGACCCTTCACATATTTTTATAAAATCTTATTCACAATATTTATTTAATTATTATCACCTAATACCTTAATTTTTTCATTAAACACAAGTTTATCGACACTATGACACTTGTTTTCTCTAGGAATGCATGGGTTTGTGTTTGGCATATGATCTGATACGAATGAAGACTTGGTCTATGGATGGGGTCCGGACTTTGCTCTTAGGAGATGCACTGACTGTTGAGGTGATAATCTATTTGAAAATTAAATTTTCAAAAATTTAATAAATATGAAAACTTGCAATAAAAAGTTTGATGCTTAAAACAGCTTACTCACGAAAAGATAAGAGTTGTAGATGGTCAATAGATTGTTCATCAAATGGTTGCTTCACTCGGGAACCAGGTGATTCTTTTTCTCAAAATCCCGTTTAGCAAAATAACAAGGTAGTTTATATCGTATTTTATCAATTAGTTTAAAGCAACATAATTTTTTTCTGGTCTACACATGTCGTATCTTAGTTGAGTTTGAGTTATTTATAACAAATCCATGATTATTACAATATCAAAGAAGAAACAATCCAAGACCTGCCAACCACGCCAACTTACATGAACCATGTGATATGCAAAGATATCCTTCAAGAAGCAAAAAAAAAAAAAGACGCAACCATGAAGGACATGTTAGCTACCATCCAAGAAATCATATGCTTCAATCCACTTTCGTCTATATATCTTTTGCTTCTAAGAACTATGTATCTTTTGCCACATATCCATTCAATCCATTTTAGTCATATCTTGAATTTTAAGAGGTATAAGTTACAAAGCTTTTTGTACAAATCAATTATGCATAAATAAATCATTAATACTTTCAAAAGTTTAGAGACTTGGATTCATAAATGTTATTAAGAAATTCAATTTTGAGAAAAATGACAAATTTAAAATATTAAATTCATGTATATAAATTAATTTATATTTCTTAAACTACACACCGCTATAAATTACTTTATATCAAATGTATAAACATGCAATATATATATATATATATATATATATATATATATATTTTATTTTATACTCGTAGTTTTGTTAATACATAATAACTAATAATAAAATCAAATAATTATTTTATCATAAGAAAATTATTCACCAAAAGAACTATTTATCGTTGCCGCTTTGTGCGGGCACACATC